TGGTCAAGCAAACAGTGTTTATCAGAGCAACTGTATTCACCATCTACTCAGGACACCTTGGAGTTCTGGGTTGGGGAGCTCTCACCTGACAGGGGATGACAACCAGAAGAGATTGGCCTGTTGAAATTCTGCCTGAGCTGACTCTGTGGGCAACACTAACTGCTGCAAATGAGACTTTGGGGAAAATGTGAGTTCTTGTCTCATCATTTTCACAGCGCTGAACATTGTCATGACTCAAAGTGGACTTAAGTGGGACAGCTGTGGCCTGGAGGAACGTTTTCATGGCATGCGGGGCTCTGCGGATTTGCTGGTGGTGAAATGATTTTTATTTGGCTAGATAAGTGCAATGGAATGGTACTATTCTACGCCATTTTCATTTCTTCAAGGTCATTTCTGAATTGTTACATTTCTGATACCTGTGCATGTGGAAGGTAGCAGACATAGAGAGGAGTCTAAGGCTGGAAATAGTGGGCTTTGGTCTTGGGGATTAATACAAATGGAATCTCTAATTAAACCAGGTGTCTATAGATTCCCTTAAGTGAGTATCCCGTGTCCATGCCACTTGTCTAGGACATCTTTTGTCTTATTCAGCCAGGGTACATGCTGATCTACATTGATAAGTCACTTAGCCATAGGACATGGAAGACTGAGTTTTCTTTTTGACCACTATAGATCTAAAAGTTTCCCAAACAATGGGAAACATACTTTCCTTTTGTTTTTGTTTTGCTTGTTTGATACAGGGTCTCACTCATAGCCTGACGGGACTGGAACTCTTGGTGGTCCTGCTTTCCAGCCTCTTATGCTAGCAGGACAGACTGAACCGCCGCCACCCTTGCTGCGCTCCAGCTCTCACAGTACTCAGGATCCAACCCCGGCTCTGTGCTCAGGCAAACACTCTACAACTAGACTGTATCTCTAGCTCCAAACTCAGGAGCGATGTGGCACAAATGCCAGAATTCTGAGTACTTGAGAGGCTGAGGCAAGAGAATCACTTTGAGTTCAAGGCCAGCTTGGGCTACATACTAAGTTCCAGCCAGCCTAAGGTACATAGGGAAAGCCCATCTCAAAAACAAAACAAAACAGCCCCACCCAAAATCAAAAGAAAAAATAATACATTTGTGTTATGGGAATTTTCACTCTCTTGGGATGTCACTTTGTTAGCTAGTTTGTGTATTTGGGGCAGGGATTTCTTGTTTTGTTTTTTGTCCTTTGTTTTTTGAGGCGTGTTCTTATATAACCCAGGTAGGAAAATTACTGTGCAACTGAGGATGACCTGGTTCTCCTGCTTCCGACCCTCTAAGGACGGAGATCACAGGCATGTATCATTACACCCAGGTAGTATGTTCTTTCACAGGGTGACTCTTCTGGAATGATTTGCTATCAGTGCCTATGGAACTGTTTATTCCTTTCGAAAGTAATATGGTCTGTTTCCCAGCATATTTGTTCAGTGGTAGAGAGTAATTGCTTGTTGATGAGGTAGCTAAGAATAGATTCTGAAACTTGGGGAATGTGCTATTTCCCTTGTGATAACAAACCAGGGGGCTGTAATCAGCAGAAGAGATTAAGGATGAGCTGATGTAGTGATTCATGCCCATGAACCCATATTGTGTAACTTTTCCTGGGAGATGTGAACAAGGTCTATTCACCCAAGGTAAGGCACCAACAACAGACCAGAAAAACAATTCTACACACCTCTGGCTCAGTGAGCCAGCATGATTGGGGTTATTATTATTTGGGGGGAGGTACTGACGGTTACTTGTAGGAACATGGATAACTTAAAGGTTACTGAAAAGCCCACTCTAGCATGGGTGACCAAAAGCTGTATCCCTCCTTGGAGCTCCTGGAATAATTTATAGACAGTGTGGCTGGTCAGTCTCCTCTCCAGCAATTGTTACTGCTTATATAACTTGAGGAGGGAACTTAGGAATCTTGTAACTTTCAGGAGCTTCCTGAGCCTTGGGTATTTCACTTACTTCCTGAGTCACTGCCTCCCTATTTCCTTCAAGAGAGAATCTTACAATTCAGAGGAAATAGCTACACAACATCTCAGTGCTTGGAAGGCCAAGACATGAGGGTTACTGTGAGTTCAAAGCATGCTATATAGTGAGTTCAAGGTAAGCATTGGCTAGAGTCTCAGACCCTGACCCTTAAGGAGGGAGGGAGAGAAGAGAGGTAAGGAGAAGGAGAAAGAGAGGAGAAGAAGGAGAGGGAAAGAGATATATTAAAATTAGAGATGGCCAGACATGGTGTCACACACCTTTAATCCCAGCACTCAGGAAGCAGAAGCGGACCAATCTCTGTGAGTTCAAGGCCAACCTGATTTATACGGTGAGTTCCAGTCCAGCTACAGATACATAGTGAGAGTCTGTCACACACACACACACACACACACACACACACACGCAAAGATGGAAATTAATTGGGCCTGTGGCATGAATTTGTAATTTTAGCTACTTAGGAGGAGGTCGTGGCAGGGTGATTTCAAGCCTGGCCTATAGAGTGAGTTTACCTGAAAAGACAGCTGGGGATACAGCTCAGAAGTAACAAACTTGCCTGGTATACACAAAATTTGACCTCCCTGCCCACAGGACTGAAAGAAAAATGAAAATATGAATGTGTTGGGTAGTGGTGGCACACATCTTTAATCCCAGCACTCAGGAGGCAGAAGCAGGTGAATCTCTGTGAGTTCAAAGCCAGCCTGGTCTACAAAACGAGTTCCAGGACAGCCAGGGCTGTTACACAGAGAAACCCTGCCCCCCCCCCCCCATGAAAATGAGTTTATTTTTATTGGGGGACTGTAACTGACACAGGCTTTCTCCTTCTTTTCCTTCTCCTTCTCCTTCTCCTTCTTCTTTTGTAGTATGTATTGAATCTAGGGGCATACACATGCCAGGCAAAAGAGTCTACCACTGAACTACATTCCCCATCCTTACATAGGTTTTCAATGAAGACTTGGTGACTCACTTTTCAGACTGTCATGGGAACTAGCTTTTGCAAACATGAGCCTTCTGAAGAAGATCAAGCATGCTGACCTGTAATTCATATTCTGCTGTCATTGACTGATCTCAAAATCAATCTCTAGCCTTAAAGGCCATTTAAAGGGGAGCATTGAGGACAGCCTTGTGACGTCAGGTTCTCTAGCCCGGTGACACAGTAGCACTGTCTAGGAGGAATGCTGGTTTGAGTATCAGACAGGTGGTTAGATTAGATGACCTTTGACCTTTAAATGCTGTGTTCTAAGAGTCTTTGGGTCTTTCCCCCCACCACCTTTTCTCCTCCTCCCCTCCCCTTCCTTCCTTGCCCTCCCTTTCTTTTTCCTCATTTTGTGAGTGTGTACATGCATGCTCGCATGCACATGTGTGTGGTGCCTTACACAGGTCTAGAACTCACTATGTAGCTGTTCTAGTTTCATTCTGCTGTGCTGTGTGAAAAATACCATGACTAAAACAGTGTAGGGGAGGAAGGAGTTTATTTCACCTTACAGGTAACTGAAGTGTGATTCTAAATAACAATAAAAACCCAGACCGAGTCAGATGTCAGGGTGAAAGCTGAAAGATCAGAGAAGCAGAGCCGCCACAGTCACTTCTTACTGAAATGGGGGTGATCCTGACTCTACGAAGCCTCAGACTGAATGGCTAAAGTCTCTACTCTTATATTCCTTATATTCCTGTCTCCACCTCCCGATGCTGGGATTCAAGGTGTGAGCCTCCCATGTGCTGGGGTTAAAGGCAAGAGTCTCCTCCACCACCTGGCTCTGTTTCTCTTTTAGACTGGATCAATCTCGTGTAGCCCAGGGTGGTCTTGAACTCCTGATCTTCTTGCTTTCTCCTCCCAAGTACTGGGATTAAAGGTGTGTGTCGCCACTGCCTGGCCTCTATAGTTAACTAGTGGCTAGCTCCTTGCTCTGATCTCCAGGCAAGCTTTATTTGTTAGAGCACAAACAAAATATCGCCACAGGTTATTGTTCATCATTGAGGGACTCAAACAGAGATTTGGAGCAGAAACCTTGGAAGAATGTTGCTTGCTGGCTTGCTCACAGACCAATGCTCAGCTAGCTTTCTTATGAAAACAGGGATTATCTGCCAAAGGAATGGTGCCATCCACAATAGGCTGGGCCCTCTTACCTAAATTAACAATCAAGATAAGCTCCTAAGCTGATCTAGGCAATTCCTCTCTCAGACGACTTTAGGCTGTATCAAATTGACAGTCAAAGCTAGCTAACACAATAACCAAGGATGGCCTTGAACTCCTGATGCCCTCACCTCTCCCCTTCCAAGTGCTGAACTTTCAGGTTTGTATGGTACTGGCAACTGGACCCAGAGTTTCATGCAAGTTAGCAAGCACCCGACCAACGGGACTACACAGGGAGGTGAGCTGCAACGGGACTACACAGGGAGGTGAGCTGCTTATCTCACAGAGGCTTGGCTGGGGATAGAATAATGGCTACTGGAAGACAGTAGTAGGAACTCATTGTGTAAAAAAACAGAGTTTCTGTTTGTGGGGCTCAGGAACAGTGCAGCGGCTGAGTACTTACCTAGCATGTGTCAGGCCCTGGGTTGGAGCCCCAGAACAGAACAAAGATTTACAAAAAAATAAATAAACCAGTGTGTGTGTGCATGCGTGCATGCGTGCATGTGTGTGTGTGTGTGTGTGTGTGTGTGTGTGTGTGTGTGTGTGTGTGTGCATGTGTGCAGGTTGGACCAGTCAGTAATGTGCCTGTAGCACAGGCACCAGGTTTTGAGTTTTGAGCCCAGCAGCCACACAAAAGCTGGCCTCAGAGAACAACTGTAGCCACAGTTGGAGCTGAGGGAAAAGACAGATAACAGGGGGATTTCAAGAGCTTGCTGGCCAGCCAGCCTAGCCAAATCAATGAACCAAATCAACTATGTTCAGTGAGAGAGACCCTGTCTCAAAAATAGATCAATTAATAATAACAACGATGATGATGATGATGATGATGATGATGAGGATGATGGAGCTCTTTGCCATCTTTCCTCCAGCCAGCCAGCAGCCCTCACTACGAAGGCGGAGCTGTTTCAGCAGGAAGAAGATCTACTCCGGACCCAGGCAGGGCCACAACAGACCATCTGGAAGGTTTTCCAGTTTCTTAATGCAAATTATGAGTCCTCATTATTTTCCAAAAGGAATCCTCGGCAGATAAACTGGGCAGTGTTCTCTACAAAAGAAAACACAAAAAGGACAGTTGGAAGAAATTCAAAAGAAAAGAACCCATTGGTGCAATCGAATCCCAGCCAGCATCACTGGTGCCTCTCTTGCTGATAAAATGGCCAAGAGTTATCAGAAACCGGAAGTTCAGAAAGCTCAGCAGCAGCAGGTTGTCAGGGCTGCCAAGGAAGAAAAAACAAAACAAAACAAAACTAAGGAGGCATCAAAGAAGACAGCCATGGCTGTTGCTAAGGCCCCCATGAGAGCAGCACCTAAGCGAGATTGAAAAGCCTGTGAAGGTCTCTCGGGGTCGGTAGAAAACATTCATTTGGTAGATGAGAATTTAAAATAAAGATCCATCTGTAACTCTTCCTCAATATGAGAGCAATTGAGGAAGACACTCCATGTTGACCTCTGCCCTCCATATGTACACACACATGCATGCACAGCCATGCACACACCCAAAGAAAGAAACACACACACACACACACACACACACATATATATATATATATATATATATATATACCATACATTCATGCATGCATACTATTTTTTAAATTTAGAGATAAATTTAAAAAAAAGTTTCCATTGGGGATGATGACAATATTGTACAGATGGAGAATGGTGTTAAAGTCCTTAATACCCCTGAATTGTACAGTTAAATTGTTACAGTGGTAAGCTTTGATGTTATACTGTTTGTCATATAAAATAATGTTGAAAGACTAACTTGGTTCACATTCAGAGCATTCTCTCACCCAGGTGTCTAGACCACCAGTCCTCATGTAGTTCTTTCAAATCCTCACAAAACCAGTAACAAAATAATGAACTTATTAAATATTTGTTATTTCCTAAGCATTGTACATTGTTTTACATCATTTTATCCGGGCTGGCCTTGAAGTCACAATCCTCCTGCCATAGCATCCAGACTGCTGGGATCACAGACCTGTGTGTGCTACCATGCTCAGCTTGAACACTAAGGTTTGAAACCGAGTATTCTCAGCTGGGCAGTGGAGGTGCACACCTTTAATCCCAGCACTCAGGAGGCAGAGGCAGGTGGATCTCTGTGATTTTGAGGCCAGTCTGGTCTACACAGAGAGAGTTCTAGTACAGTAGGGCAACACAGAGAAACCCTGTCACTCAAACAAAACAAAATACACAACAACAAAACACTCCTGAGTATTCTCAAAGATCAAACTGTTTCTCAGTTCCAGACTTCTCACAAGCCTCTCTCATACTCTAAAGATCACATACATAGTCTTTTCCTTTTAAGATGTATTTATTTGTTTGTGTAATAACTGTTTGTGCCTGAGCATATATATTCACAGCACTTGAGTTGGAGGGGCACTTGGAAGCCAAAACGGGGTGTTGGAGCTCCTGGAACTAGAATTACAGGCTGTTGAGCTGCCTGATGTAGGTTCAGTTAATTGACCCAGAACCTCTGCAAGAGCAGTTAGTGCTCTTAACTGCTGAACCATCTCTCTGGCTCCAAGAAGTAATTTCTAGGGGTTCAGAATGTGGCTCAGTTGCTAGGGTGCTTGCCTAGCATGCACAAAGCCCTGGGTTCAAAACCCAGCACCACATAAAAATCCAGGCACCAGGCATGATGGCACACATCTGTAATTCCAGCACTCGGGAAGTGAAGACAGGAATATTGGAAGCTCAAGGTCACCCCTTGTCTACATAGAGCTTGAGGCCACCCTACCCTATATCATGTGCTGTATACCACCAAACAAACAAACAAAACCAGCGTAAAAGGGTACACTAAAGCCTCTGCTAAGGAGAAAAAGGAGCCAGATCTCACAGTTCCTTCCCATCTGCCTAGCAGTGCTTTACATGAATTCACTCCCTTAATTTCACAACAGGCCTCGGGAATGGGAGCTCTGGTTATCCTCATTGTAGATGAGGACATGAGCCGCAGTGAGGATAATTTTTCCAAAGTCACAAAATCACTTTTGGTACCAGAAAAATAGAACTGAAAATCTATTTATTATTTTTGTATCATGTGTACGGGTGCACACGTGCCCTTGTGGAGTTTAGAGGACAACTTTGTGGACTCAGTTCTCTCCTTCCACCTTCCTGTGGGGGCCCAGGATTGAATCCAGATCACAGCTCTAAGGCTGTGAGCCATTTCACTGGCTCTCAATTTAGAATCCCCCCCTCCCCCCCGCTTCTAATAAGAAAAATATTCTCATGTTTCTAACACCAGAAGAGCACAATGGCTAACACCTCTTCTTACTTCATTGGAGATAATGTCCTCCTGCCTCACCTCCTCCTGGTGATTGAACTGTTGGTAAGAGTGCATAAATAACAGAAGAAAGACCCTTCACCTCTCGGCCGCCATCCTTGTTTGGCCTGGAAGTACTTACCATCAAACAAAAGTAGGAGGGGCCTCCAGGCCGATGTGCCTCTCTTGAGCTCTCCCCTTTTTTTTTTTTTTTTTTTTTTTGGTATGCCATCTTTCTTATTAGATTTCATATGGATAGCATCTATAAGCACAGATTTATACACAGCACATCAATGAGTGAGGTACATATTTTTCACCAGGCTCTAGGGGATCTTCCGTGTTTCTATATCTTGAAGTTTCCCCTATTATCTGAAGTCTTTCTATTCCTGGAACTCTCTCACTCAAATCTCTCACCCGTATCCCACCGTTTTAGGTGACAAAATCATTCCCGCCATCCAGCCCCTCACCTTGACCTTGAGCTGTGAACCACTTTGGGGTAGGGTGCATTCCTTGGCTTGTCCACTTCAACCCCTAGTAGAATAGAAAGGGGAGTCCAGAAGGTGCCAGAAGCTCTTTGAGTGTAACTGTCAGCATCTGCCTGCCCATCTACTCTCCATCTGCCTGCATTATTATACAAAACCTAGTGTTAGGCCCTCTGAAGAATCCACATCGGTAGCGATTGCACGCCCCCATCTCGGAGCTTCTGAATATTCATGTGGGAAGCAGAAGGGCCGTTATCAAAGAAGGGAGAAACGGCAATTCATAAATATTAATAAAGGCAGGTCCACGTGCTCCAAGGAAAGCTATGAATGTTCACAAGAGGATGACGTTCAGGCCCTGGGCGCGCCCGTTGGGCGGGTGCCCGAGTGCGGGCGCGCCTCCGGGAGCCCGGGCACGAGCGCGGGGACCGGGCGCCGCCGGAGCAGCGGGGGAGCGCTCGCTCGCTGGCTGGCTTGCGGCTGCCGCTGCGCTGCGCCGGGCTACCGCTAGCCGGTGGATGGGGGTGTCCGGCTGAGCCCCGGGATCCGCGTCCCTCCGCCAGGACCCACACAGGTGAGGGCTCAGGGTTAGGGAGTGGGGGACAATGACCTTAGTCTGCACTGGACCCAGTACTAGGGGCGAGCGCGCGCGGGAGGTGGTGGTGGTCGAATTCGAGTGATGAAGGAGGCCAGAGGACTCCAGATTCTCCCATAAGATTCCTGATTCCTGGGGTATGCACGACTCTCATCCCCACTAGTCCCATTCACAGACTAAAAAAGAAGGGCCCGAGGGCTGTCGCCCTGGCTGTACCCAGTTTTGCGGGAGCTCAGCACCAGGGCCCCGGAGTGAGATACTGGGTACTGGTAGCATCATCTCAGAGCAGTGTGTGTGTGTGTGTGTGTGTGTGTGTGTGTGTGTGTGTGTGTGTGTGTGTGTGTGTGTGTGTGTGTGTGTGTGTGTGTGTGTTGCTGAGTACTGGTAGCATCATCTCAGAGCATTGTGTGTGTGTGTGTGTGTGTGTGTGTGTGTGTGTGTGTGTGTGTGTGTGTGTGTGATGTGCAGCACACTGCTGGGAAACCCTGCCTGATCGTGCTGGAGCAATGTGGATCCCATATATCATTCCAGAACCGTTATCTGGTCCGGTTATCTTTGGCGTCTCAAAATCATCTTTGTCCCTAAGAACCTGATCCTGCATCTACTTGTGCCCCTCCTCGGGGTGTGGAGCCTTCCCCCGACGGTGCATTCTCGCAGTGTCAGAACCTCTGGCTGCAGTCCTGGGGGAGCGATTGTTTTACTACACAGAGCAGGTCGGAGAAAGGACGAGTATGGCAGAGAGGAGTGGTGTGTGCAGCGCCGGCTGTCGTCCTCAGGGCCCAGAGCTCTGCAGATTGGGGGCTCAGCTTAAGGGGTGTTACACAATCCGCTCTTCTGCCCTCTTGCCTTTCCCTTCGAATCTTGTCTCCTGGCACGACTCACCATTCCAGACTTCCAGGTCTTTATTTGGCAAAGGGACAGTGGAGTATGTGCAGGGGCTGCGTGGGATGAGCTGGGCTTCTTCGGAGTGCCAGCCATTGTGCTGCCTGGAAGAGCCTTTCTTTACTCTGACAGAAGAGGGAGAGGAGGTCTGAAATGGAGGTGAATGGAACAGAAGAGAAGGGGGAAGGGTACAGAGTCCAGTGAAGGGGTTGCTGAGGCATGTGCAAATGAGTATTTATTCGTTCTGGCAAAATGGACAGCTAACACTAGCCAGGTTTTGCAGAAGAGCAGTCAGAGTCTGGAAGGAGATAAGCGAGGACATTTTAAGGATCTATACGGGGAGAGGAGGGGAGAGGAAGCACAGAGTCAACTATAGAGCAAGAGATGGAAAGAACAGGGAGATGGAGAGGGCATGTGTGGAGGTGCAGAGAGGCCCAGGAGGGGAGGCACGGTGAAATCCACCATTCACTCAGCTCGGTGAAGCAGGGACTGGTGATTTGTACTGCAGACCCAAGCTGCAGCTTCTGTACTGTTAAGCTGCAGGGAGAGACTTGTGCGCTCCCTACCCAGTGTCGTGTCCGTTGAGCGCTCTGTGTGTGTGCATTTCTCTTCCAAATTACATCATGTATTTGGAGACAGAATAGATGGAATAGATTGTATGAAACGCTTAAACTATAGTCCTGTACTTCTATAATAAAAAGGAAAAGACGGCTTTCCCGTGATTCCCTCTCTTGCCATTTTTGTATATCTGTTTATTTTGGAAGCACAAGGAAGATGGCTATTATGTGTATTAACATTAACTTTTTGTGTGTGTGTGGGAGAGGTGAAAACAGAGCGCCAGGTGTCACGCACGCTAAGCAACTGCTCTGCGGCTGAGTTGCCCCTCTAGCCTTAACACTAGCTTTGAAGGGAGGAGGGCTGGGAGAGAAGCTGAGGCTGAGGACCCAGCACACTTGCCAGGATGGAAGGATGGAGGGTTACTTCCGACATTTCGGTTGGGAAATAAAAGCAGCTTACCTAGAGGAGTACAAAAGAAACAAATTAAAGAAGGAAGGTAGGGGGCCCCAATAAAAGGGATGTGCCAGCTCTCCAAGCCAGTGAACCCCTTCTCAAGGCTTGACTCTCATCTCCTCTACCACAGCCTGAGATACAAACGTCCAGGTTGCGTCCTGTATTGATACAGATTCCTGATCGATCATGCTCTCAGATTTAGCATCATCTG